AATTAATTATAATTAAAAATTAATCATAATTAAATTTAATTAATTATGATTAATAATTAATAATTATAATTAAACATAATTGATCATCATTAAATCTAATTAACTAAATCTAATTTATAATTAATGATAATTAAATATAATTAAAAATAATTCATTATAATCAAATTAAGTCAATTAAAATTAATTCAAATAAATTTATATAGAAATTGAACGGGATTTAAGCTATATCTCATTTGAATGAGATTTAGTTAATCTCCTAATAGCTTAAATCCTCGATTTCCCCTTTCAGCCCCCTCCAATTTATGGGATCAAGCCGAAGAAGCACTTGAAAGGGATAAGGTTACCTTCACAGCACTTGAGCTCCTGTTGTTGGCTTCCGATCGGATAAGAAGAGGAGTCGGGTAGAGCAGTTCGGGCAAGGAGTTGGATGAAGGGATTCAGCTCTCTCTCTCCCTCTCTCTGTGTGTGCGGATCGGAGGAAGGAGCACGAGGCGGGTTCGGATTGGCTGGAGGTCGGAGGAGGGAGTTCGGCGGGAATGGAGGTGGATCAGGTAAGGAGAAGACTCCTCTCTCTCTCTCTCTCTCTCTCTCTCTCTCTCTCTCTCGCCCGAGGGGTCGGACGGAGGTAGAAGGATTGGAGGCAGCAAGACGTCGGGTGAGGAGTTCATGGAAGAAAGCAGAGAGCGGGAGGAAGAGTCGAGCAGCCCCATCGCTATTTAACGACGATTTGGGCGCTCGATCGAGGCGAGCTCGCGGCTTTTGAGTAGGATTTCACGGGAAATCGACTGGAGCGGCGCCGTTTGCAGTAAATTAGCGGGATTTCTGCGGGATTTCCGGCCGGTTTTGTGGATACAAGGTTTGGTCTGATTTGATTTTTTTTTTTTTTTTTTTTTTTTTGTTTCTCTTGTGCATTACACAGAGGTCAACAACTGTATGTTCTTGATGATTTGGATTCTAATCGTGGTTCTCTTTTTCTCTGGAGTTGTTTTGGTAGTAGCTATTCTAGTGGCATCGGCAGCACATTCAGGTTAATTTATTTTGGTCAACATTTTGTTATCTTAATGGATGGGGGTATTTCTTATGTTTTTGGTTTATCCTGGGAATAGCTATTCTAGTGGCTTGGAGGCAGCAGGAAGTTCATTTTCATTACTTTAGGCCAGCCTGTGGTTACAATAGAAGGGAGTTTTCATCCTGTTCTAATTTATTAACTAAGTTTTGTGAAATTAGTCTATAACAAGGATAAGCTAAGTGTTTTAAAGATTCTAAGGCTTTTACCTTTTGAAAGATTTTTTTTCCTGTATTCTAATGTGTTTTCTTATGATTTTACCGACTTCTTCCTTGTATGCCGTTTATGTGTAATTTTTTAATATGAACTCATTTTTCTTATGTTCAGTCTTAAGAGTATGTGTTATATTTGGCTGTCTTGTACCTTTGGTTATGTTGGTGTTTCTTTCTTTTCCAGGTATCATGCTCAAGTTCTCTTTGATCGGCTATCCCATCTGAACCCCGTTGCACATATTCTTGTCTGTGAGGGCTTATTTAGGTACACATGTAATCCTCATTCTAATAATTGAGTTTTTTTGCAAGATTTGACTTGCTTGCATTGTGAGTCTTCTAAGCAATGTTTGCTTAATTGCACTCTTTTTACTTCCATGCAATATGTATTTTAGAATATTCCATTTCTATGTTATTTAAGGCGCCTGAATTTTTTTTTGGGCGGTTATATTGCAAAACATCTGATTATTTGCATGATTCTGACGACTTTCTGTAGGGTTATATATTGTACTTTATATTGCAAACATGGTAACATCATTGACTTGTACAAATGAATTGCCATGCTTTTTTTTTTTTACATCTTTGTTGTCAAATCTTGTTGTGATCTTCGTTGGCCTTATCCCCTTCAATTGAGGTGGATTTATGAATCTTTTGTTGCTATTTAGGCGTACTAATTTATGGTAATTTTATGGCCCGGTTGACATGTTACATTCTTAAAGGATATTATCTATCTTGATAGGGCTATAGAGAAGAGCATCGCCTCCTCTTATGATATTGTTTGTCATAAACGTCTCCAAAACATTGGCAACTCCTTTACCACTTGTTCAGATACCACAGAGTCGGTAATTACATCATCAATTCCAGTTCCTCAGGTTGATCTTTCGAGGGATCTTTTTCAAATGCTTGCTGCTGCTGGTCCTTACCTACATCGTGATACCATTCTTTTGCAGAAGGTATGGCATTAATTAGAAGGGTAAGGTGGTTTTGGATAATATATTGTGATGTACTGTTTTATGAAGAATAACCGCTTGTGTTCTGCTTGTCAAATATTTCCAGGGTTTGTGCTATTTGAGTAGTTATTATTTGATAAATCAATTTGATCGGTCATTGAGCCTAGAAATAATCTTAAATGCATTAATGTGAATAGTGATTATAGTCAATGGTTTTTGATTAAGCAAGGTTTACTATTTTGGCAATTTACGGCTTTCAGCTACTGGTCCTTATGCAATACGTGCCATTCAGCTCATGAACTGATGGCATGGCCTGGAAATTATAAAAAAAATTTGTTATGTACTTGATGATCCACCCTTTGTTGTAATTGTTGAGTTTGATTGGTTAGTATAAAGTTATTTTTTAATTTTTTAATTTTACTATTAACTATCTTGTCTTTAAGCTAGCATAAGATTATTTATAATGAAGTTGGAATTACTATTTTGGTTTTCTATCTAATCAATACAGTTAAAATTATTCAATTTCTTCTATGCAGGTTTGTCGAGTTTTAAGAGCATACTACCTTTCGGCTCAGGAATCTGCTAGTGTTGCTGGAAACCTACTTTCTCATGTTACTGGGGACGTAACTAGAAAACATCCTGGCTTTCAAGCCAAGGAAGCCAGGTTGAGGGTTGAGGAGGCTCTAGGAGCTTGCTTGCTCCCATCGTTGCAGTTAATACCTGCAAATCCAGCAGTGGGGCAGGGAATATGGGAAGTTCTTTCCCTACTTCCATATGAGGTTTCCATGATTTTCTCTTTGTTATTATTCCTTTATTAGAGGTTTTACAGTATTTTATGGAGGTGGCTGATATTTGTAGGCCCGTTATCGTCTGTATGGTGAATGGGAGAAGGACGATGAATGCATTCCTATGGTCCTTGCTGCAAGGCAGATTGCAAAGGTTCATGAAAGTTTCTCTCAATTCCTTATGTTTGCATGGTTGTATGGTTAAACTTTTTATTCTCTTTTTCAGTTGGACACTCGTAGATTATTGAAACGACTTGCCAAGGAAAACTTAAAGCAACTTGGTCGTATGGTGGCCAAGCTTGCTCATGCTAATCCAATGACTGTTTTACGAACCATTGTTCACCAGGTATCATGTTTATCTGAAATGTTGTTTACCATTTATAAATTCTAAATTCTAAATTGCCAGATTCATTCATTCTGAATTTTATTATAAATCTGATGGTACAACCTTGTCTTGCAGATTGAGGCATACAAGGATATGATAACACCTGTTGTAGATGCTTTCAAATATTTAACACAGGTGCAAAATTGTTTCTTAAATATTTTGGCATAAAACATACTGTTTCTTGCTATTTTTTTCTATATTTTGCCTGAGAGATTGAGGGACACCACCAACCCTAACATTTCCCAATGTATCTACTTTTATTATGGTGATAATCAAAGTAACAATTTCTATAAACATTTATATGCTAATGACCGGTGGAGCTTATGTCATCAATAACCGTTGGTCTATCTATTCAGATATTATATTTAAGGGAAAAGTTCTTATATAAGGATAACACATAATGCTATATTGGAAAGTAAAAGCAACCTGATTTTAAAACTTTAATTTGGTGTGATTTCTTTTCTTTTGCTTCTAAAAATTGCAATAGTGTGTTTTGCTGAATCTCTCAACTTAGTAGATGATTCATGGCTTCCATAAGCCTTTCCAATTAAATATGAAGCAAGATTTCATGGCAACCTGATTGCATTAAAAACATGGGCTTTCTTTTGTTGACCGTTGACCTCTACTCACCGACCGGCTCCCACTACCCCACTCACACATGATTTCACAACCGCCCACTCACCCACTCCACGGCTCTAAAACCCCAAAGAAACCGCTCGCTTGACGCTCTTGATTCGAACTCATGCATGTAAGAAAGCCTCGCTTGCCTCTCCCTATGCGTTCACATGGACCCGCACATGAAGCCCAGCCGTCGATCCCTCTCTTCCAACCTCACTATGACGCACACAGAGATCTCAGCTGCCCATCCCATCTTCTGCCATGCACACTCCTACCTGAAGCTAGCATCGCCTGACCCATATCGTAGCCTTTTTCCTGATCCTGTGCTTGACTTTCCAACCCGATCCTGCACTTGGTTTCCAACTTGATTCACTCCGGGCTTCTCAACTTGATCTCGCTAGCTCGTCGATCCTTCCCAATCTCGTGCGCCCAGCAGTCCAGCCAGATCGGACCCTAACTCCTTCCAATGAGTGGCATGGCATGGCAAGTTTGTGTTATATAATAATAATAATAATAATAATAATAATAATAATAATAATAATAATAATAATAATATTTTTTAAATATTTTGGCATAAAGCTTGTTGTTTCTTGTTATCTGTTTCTATATTTTGCCTAAGAGACTGAGGGGCACCACCAACTCTAACATCTCCTAGTGTATCTACTTTTATTACAGTGATAATTAAAGTAACAATTTCTAAGAACATTTATATGCTAATGACCAGTGGAGCTTATGTCATCAATAACTGTTTGTCTATCTATTTAGATATTATATTTAAGGGAAAAGTCCTTGTATAAAGATAACGCATAATGCTATATTGGAAAGTAAAAATGTCCTTATTTTAAAACTTTAATTTGGTGCGATTTCTTTTCTTTTGCTTTTAAAAATCGCAATAGTGAGTTTTGTTGAATCTCTCAACTTAGTAGATGATTCATGGGTTCCATAAGCCTTTCCAATTAGATATGAAGCAAGGTTTCGTGACAACCTAATTGCATTAAAAACAAAAGCATTCTTTTGTTGACCGTTGAATTCTAATCATCGGCCAGCATCCACTACCCCGCTCACACACGATCTCACAACCGCCCACTCACCCCCTCACACGATGCTAAAATCTCCAAAGGAACCGCTCGGCTGACGTTCCTGATTCAAACTCATGCAAGTAAGAAAGCCTCGCTTGTCCCTCCCAGTTCGTTCGCACGGACCTGCATGCGAAGCTTAGCCGTCGATCCTTCTCTCCCGACCTTCCTGTGCTGCACACAGAGATCCCATCCACCGATCCCGTCTTTTGCTGTGCATGCTCCTACCTGAAGCCAACTTCCGCCTGCACCCGACCCCGATTGTAGCCTTCATCTTGATCCTGTGCTCCAATATGATCCCACTCCCAACTTCTCAACTTGATTCTACAAGCTCGTTGATCCTTCCCAATCTGCTGCGCCCAGCCCGATCGACCCCATACTCCTTCCAACGAGTGGCATGGTAGGACAAGTTTGTCAATAATAATAATAATAATAATAATAGGTACTACAACAGGGATCGCCGAACACTCATACCGTGACTAATTAGTGTCCCAAAGTCCTCGACTGTCGAATCTTATCTGACTTGGTGGATTTGACCAAACTCCATTCTTGGGGAGGAGGCATCAAAAAGCTGCTAAATTTTAAGGAAAATTAAAAGGAGTTTTTTTTTTTTTTTAAATTTACATTAGCAAGTGTTGTGAGCAAATTAAAGATTAAAGACTTATGCTGGGGCTACTCAACGTCCCGAAGCCCTCGGCTGTCAAATCCTATTTGGTCGGGCGGATGGAAAGGGCAAGTGCTCTCCCTACCTTCCTTCGCATGCAGGGGACGTTGGGAGCTGTCGAATTTTCAAATGAGAAAGACACCCCTCCTGCTGCACATAATTAATGAAATAAATAAATAAATAAGGGGATAAAAATCATTAAAAAAATTGGCTAAAAGTGCTAAAAAACCCATACAATAGCTCTGATACGCCAAAATATTCTCCTCATGTGCTTCAAGATTTACATTAAAGTTCCTAAATGTAAGATATGAGAATGATGTAGAACGGGTATGGGGTTTTGAGTCCTATGGGTCTTGAAGAGCAAATCGACATCTAAACAGCAACTTTTGGCAATTTCTGAGTGGGAACAACCATCAATCTTGGTCTTGAATCCTTGGATAGAGGTTAGGGATCCTTCCAAGCGGCTGGACGACAAGTTGTATGTCTCAGGAAATCCGAACAGCAGCCATAAGAGGGCGTTGGACAGCAGCAGGAGGGTTCTGGCAGCGGCACAATGATTTTCCTTTGCTGGAATTTCCAGGGCAGCAGCAGTTTTGAGGCTTCCGTAGGGTGGGGAAACAAGGACAGCGGCTGGAAATCCTCTGGCAGCAGTATTGGGGGCTAGGAGAATTCCACGTGGAGGGAGTTTGGGAGGTTTTAAGGGAGAAAACTAATGTAAGGGGATTGGGAAAATTCGGCCAGCAAGGGGGGAAACGGGGATGGAGTTAATTCCAAAATAGAATCAGGATTTTTGGTAAGATTTTAAGAGGTGGATGCACAGGAGGGATTTCGGCCAGGTGAGGTGGATGGGTTTGAATTATTTCCAAGAGAGAGTAGGGGCTTTAGGAAATAAATCTTTAGGATTTAATATATGGGCCGGCGGCTTAATGGTGATGGAGGAGATTGGGGAGGTGATTTGGGTTACTTAAATAAGGCTTTTAAGAATTAGGAAAGTGTTTAAATAAATCCAATTTGAATTTGAGATTCAAATGGATTTAATTTAAAACTTTCCTAAAATAGGTTTGATGAATTAGGAAAGGTTTTGAAATTTAAATCCAATCTAATTAGAGGTTAATGTGGATTTGATTTGAAAACTTCCAAAAATAGAGTTCTAAATTTGGAAATATTTCAAAATTCAAATTTGATTGAACAATCAAGGTTTTCCAAAGGAGGCTTGGAGGAAAAAGGTAAGTAGGGAGGAAGGTTTGAAATTTTGGAGGCAAAGGGGATTGGGATATGACCGGTGGCTAGGTTAGGGCTTGATGGGAGTTGGCGGTTTGGGAGGGGAGGATGGATAGCCGAGTGGGGAGGATGGATAGCCGAGTGGGAAGGAATTAGGTTATGGCTTGATGGAAGTTGGCGGTTTGGGAGGGGAGGATGGATAGCCGAGTGGGAAGGAGGGTGGATTGGTTAGGGAAGTGAATTGGTAAGGGGAGGGCGGCAGTTGGGGTGACCCGTGGGAGGAGATGGATGAAAATGACGACTAGGAGCACAATAAGAAGGAAAATAAACAAAATATAGAAGATACAACCGCGAGCCTGGACCCATCGTGCGGCTGACGGGTACTACGTTGCCCTTCTCAAAGGGACTTCACGCCACGAGCTCGGACCCATCTTGCGGCTGGTGGAAACTCCGATCACTCCCATAGGATTCTCACCCAAGTTCTCTCCAAAGAACACAAGTGCAAAGAAAATTTTATTTCTTAATAACTCATCATTGATCTAATATAAGAGCAAGAGCCTCTATATATAGGCTTTAAAAGAAATTAAAAGACAACTTTGCCCCCTTAGTCTTATATAAGACAATACTCTTAAATAAGGGTAAAAACAACAAATGCAAAACTAAATCAAAATATAATTAATAAACAAAAAAAAGGAGTGATCTAAGCCGTCGATTTTCGTCTCTTCCTTTGATTAACGTCCACCGTCGGATGTCCGCATCATTCTCCCGGGGTGGAAAAGAGCTCGACTCCGTCGAGTCTGCATCCCGGGTAACCATGCTCTGATAGAGAATGCTTCACGGATTCAATACAAATTTTCAAGTACCCCTATAATAGCTCCAATCTAAGGTTGAAAATACATTCGCATGTGCTCCGATCGTTAGATTTGATTTCTAAATCTAATAGTCCGAGAATGCTACGCGGGTCAAATATTTCAAGTTTCATCCTCCTTGAAAGGACTGGAGTTGACTAGGCTTGGATTAACAAGCAAACGCCTAATCACAAATCTACTGTAACTCTTCGGAGGCTTTCTAAATGAAATTCATCTTAAAATATAAATATTCAATTTTAGTGTTTGTATAATCATCAATCGTTAAACCTGGTCCTCTTTTAGTAAGTGAACAGAGATGATAAGGCTTAAATAACTAATTATGTAACACCTTGATGATGATTGTGTTGACAGAAAATCTTAATTGGAGGGGACCCTATTTTCATAATACTCAAACCTCAAAGCAAAATACAAATATTTCTCCACCCCGAAGATGTACATGTTGACAAACTTTCAACCTGAGGTTCCACACAAATTTCAAAGCAATGACCCCAAATCGTAAAGTTAATTGTTAGGGGCTCAAGTTTAAATAAAAATTCTATATCCACAAATCTTCAATATGCAAAATACATGCAGTTCCACAGGAGAAGATCTGTCAAGAGGTGTTGCAGTTCTTAAGGAGTTGTTAACCGTCCGGTGGACACAATTGGCGGGAAAGACTGGCGGGGCTGTTCTTTGTAAACAACATATATCCTTTTTAGTTGTGTAAATCTAGGACCAAGGTGGAGATTATTTGATATTAGTCCAAGATTTAGGTTTATACTTTCTTTAGTTTCTTGAATAGCTTGTATTGCCATTGATGTAGCTATTTATTGCCTATAAATAAAGCTATAGGTTGTATTAGTGAACATGATTAAGCAATGATAATTCTGATTCAGCTCTCTCCTTGTCTCCTTCCCTCTCGCCCCCCTCCTCTCCCAAGAAGCTTAAGAAGGAAGTGCTTCTTCCTCTCATTGAAGATCCTAAAAGGTTCCTTCTGTCGGGTTGGGTCGTTTACCTCCACTAACTAAGTAGACGAGGGACCTTGACAGCTTAGGTCAACGAAACCATGTGATCTTGATCGGGCTCGTCCTTATTCCCCCATCACCCATTTTAAATTTTAGAGTGATAAATTTCAAATCTTAAAAATTCCTAAAATATAATTTTAAAATCTCTAAAGTTGCTGCTACTATACGATAGGTACTCAGTGTTTATCTCACGACTATTCTTAATTTAAAGTTTTCTCTCATTATCGGGAGGGGTTATTAATTATAGGGGTTTGCGCTTATAGGAAACCAGAACTCAGGTCATAAAGTCCTCGCAAAATGAGGCGAAATCTCTGGGTAGTATCTAATAAAGTCTAATCTGCCTTCTGAAAATTTACCCCATAATTTTAATCCGTTAAAACTCTTCCCGTCAACTAAAGAGGCGCGGAGAGGCTAGGGTACAAATTTTTGTAGACCACATGTTTCAAGCATGATAATAATGAAATAAATTATAAATATCATTCATGAGCAAAAGATAATGAGCATTGCAAATTATTTCATGTGCTTTTTTGTGGCATTTATTAAGCAAATAGAAATTTAGTGCCTAAATCTTATCGGTAGCTAGCGGTGGTAGGTCCATCAAACTTAATAATCTTCTTGGATTCCTTGGCTGTCACATCATACTCCCATCTTGGTGCCATATTTAGAGCACATGCCACACAAATAGTGATGCTTTTATATTAGTGTTTGTATATAGGGTCAGGTGCTTGTGTCTAACATGACCTGAAAACTGAAATTTTCAAAGAGAGCTTCCATATGAACAGTTTCTTTCTCAAAGGAGTCATTACATATAGGAATTAATATTGGCATAAGGTTTTTATCTATTGAATAATTTAATTCCATAAAAGGTCCTTTTTTTTTAATTGGCCCAATAGCCAAATGAACAACATTTTTTTTCAAAAATTCCTGAAATTTCAATTGCTTGATTGTCCCACTAATCTAGATTATTCATAGCATAAATCATCGTGAAATTGATTCAAATACTATATATATTTTATTTTAAAGAATATATAGTTTAATATTGAAAAAAATCAAACAAACATCGATTTACCAAAGCAAATGGTGGTGATGAGTTTTTAGAATTTCCTTAAATTCTTTGTTTTTAAATTCAACCAGAAGTTTTTCAGCTCTTCCCCTTGACTATTTTATGTATAGGCATTTCCAATGACACTCTTTGTGTCCATCTTCCTTCTGATGAGCAAACCTAAGATATTGGCAAAGTTCTTACACTATCGTGTAAGCTTAGTTTGAAGGCTGGAAGATAGTACAAGCAAACTTTTGACCGTTCGTAAGCTTAAAGGAGGAGTTGGAAGGGAGAATGTGAAATGCTTATTGGTGATGGTGGAAATGTTAACTTTATAAATTCAAGCTCTAACACCACCTTGAAGATCAGTTAAATTTTAGGGGAATAAGGTGTAGCATGACCCTCTACTTTGTGACAATCAATTGTAGCTTATCGTCTAACACGGTTGTTGTTCTTCTCCTTTCATCAAAAAGAGATGAGCATTTCTTAATGCATCACCAGAATTAACAGTCTTCTCTCGGTTTTGCTAACTAGGCCTTAAATCTACTGGCCTAATCCCATTCCTAATGTTGCAATAAACAAGTGGTCATGTCTCCCTTCCTCATATCTTTCAAACCTTAGTTTTGAACACATTATTCCTGTTGCTTACATTTTTGGTAGAGTATTTTCTTTTACTGATTTTGCTGTAAATACCTAAAAGACTTTTTTTTTTGTGCGTGTGTGCAGTTAGAGTATGATATTCTAGAATATGTTGTAATTGAACGATTGGCACAAGGTGGGCGTGAGAAGCTAAAAGATGATGGGCTTAATTTATCAGACTGGCTTCAGTCTCTTGCATCTTTTTGGGGTCACTTGTAAGGATCTTCCCTCTTTGAATTCGGCAAATTATACTGGCATTATTTTGTTTCTTTTTTTATGTTGTCTTAATTTATAATATTATGGATCACATCTACCTGTTTTTTGGATTGGTTACTTTTTGTTTTGCTTGTGTAAGCTATTAGATGGAAAATCATGATTTGTTTCTCAAGTTTCCGAAAGTCAGCAGTTCATTAAATTCGAACTTGCATTCAATATTTTGTTGACCTTAATGCCTTCTGAGAAAGAGCTTCTTGGGTGGGTTGCCTACAGAAACTGTTTCTGATTTGTTTTATGTCTAGCCCTGAATGCTTCTAATTTTATGAATTTACTGCCCCGGTTTTCAATATTTGAAATTCAAGCTTATTTCCATTTTCATAGTCTGTAATAAAAAACTATTCAATTTGTCAATAGTGCCACAATTTTTTTTGAAAAATAGGTTTTATATGAGAGTTTAGCCATGAAACCATTATTTATTTAATATATTAAAATGTGTTTGAGATTATCATGAACCAAAATTCCTAGCGGTGAAAGGTGATACATAATATGCTTTCCCTGTTTTTAAGATAAGAGGCCATGTGTGATAAATGTAGTAATAAAATCTTGATTATTCATTTTTTGGATAACATACAAACATTCATATCTGTATATATATTGATATCTAAACCATTAGGTACATAATATAATATCTGTAACTACTGCAGTGAACTGTGAGCATGGTTCTCTTGTAGGTGCTTGGATAAGGTGTGTTGAAGCGATAGTGTCTCCCAATTCTAGATGAGTGCCATTTTAATGCATTTTTAATGAGGTTATCGTCTTTGATATATTGCTCTCTTTGCGGTCAGATTGTTTTTACATTGGATGAGGCGTTTACTGACTGCATACTGGTGTAGATTTCTACTTTTTTTTTTTTTTTCTGTATTTCATGAACTAGAGATAGAGTGGACGGATGCACCCCACAATATATATATATATATATATATATATATAATTGTTAGGCATTCCAATCATCACTAGATTTCTTGCAGGTGCAAGAAGTACCCCTCAATGGAGTTGAGAGGCCTTTGGAACCCAAGAGACATCATAAATAAAAACAATAAAAAACTATAGAAATAACGTTTAATAAAAAGATAAATATGAACTAAAATGTTAGCTAATAATGAGTTAACCCTTAGTTCAATAAGTGAACTAAAGACCAGCTCATAAATGAGCTAAAATTTCAGCTCAATTTTGATTGAGCTTGTAAACTCGAGGGAGGCCAAAATTGATTTATTTTGGACATGAGTTGACCCCCCTTTGTCTACATCACCCAGACACAAGCATTCGATAATTATAGATACAAGGAATCTGAAGCCTAGCCTCCATCTCTTCTTGTGCTCTCTCCGACCTCGACTGCTGGTAACCAGCTCCCCCACCTCCGACTACCGCATATGATCAAAGCCAACAAAAGCAGTGGAAGCCCTGGCCCTTCTCGCTCTCTCCCGTTCTCTATTCGCAATAGGCCTGTCGCTCCCACATGATCGAACACAAGAAGCCGCCAACGATCGACCTCCCACACGATCGAACACAAGAAGCCACCAACGAGCCCGCTAGTCCAATCCGTCTGATTCCGCCTTTTGCTCTCGATCCACCTCTGAATTTGCACACAAGATCCTTGCCAATCTCTCATCTCTCTCACTCGACCGACCGCACACCCTCTTTTCTCTCCTCTGTTAATATATGTATATATATTAAGCAAGAGAGGAAATGGATTTTTAAAGTTTAAACATGTATCAAAGACCTCCACCATTAATCTTAGGTCTGGCCAGGAGTGAGCAAATTGAAGCCCCTTGCCATTGATCGTTGATTTGGGTGGGATGACATTTTAAGATATTTTGAATGCGGGAATGAAGGTCCTTGGCTTATTAAAATGAATTTGAAGACTTAGCACTTCCATGATTTAACCAGATGAAAATATGGAATAACAAGTTGTTTAATAGTAACTGATTGTCAAACTAAAAAAAAAAATTCAATAGTTTTAAAGATCAAGTTCAAATGATGGTGACATTATGTTAGTGATTACAAACATGCCTCTTATATCAGGAGAAATTGATCAAGACAATCACGATGTTGATGAAATAATAACACCAGCTATTGTCTTCTTACCCCGTGATAATGATATGATTAAGCTTATTGTACCAATTGAATCTTCTTCTTAATGAACTTCTCAAATAGACCTAAGCATTAGTATTTCTGTTGCGAATACGTATAAAATATTGCATGAAAATTAAATGAGATAAATAGATAAACATTAAGAGTTATATTTATGCTTATTATTTTTTCTTGCATAATACATATAAAATATATACAAAATATTAAATAGCACAACTTAAAAAATGGCATACAAAATCATAGCATGGAAATTGAAACTTTATATTATTTTGATATTCTTTTATTAATGATGTTTTGTTCTATAATAAACTTATTGAGCTATAGTTAAAAATTATTTATTTGGAGGATTCATCTCCATTCCCTTTGATTATTTAGTATTTATTTGAAGGACATTGGGTTTCGATATCTAAAGGAGAGGATGCTAGTCGTTGTCTCATTCTTTGTGGTTGATTTTGGCGTGGAGGGGGTAAAGAACGTCAATTATTGGACTTTGGAGTTAAGCTTTAGCGTCGAGTTGGGAGACGTGCATGCGTGAGTTGAGCTTTGAGTTGGCGATTGGATTTTAGATCCAGCCATGTCGACCCAAAACCTAGCCAAGCATATGAGAAAGAAAATCATTGGGCAACAAGATTTGCAAGAGAAGAGTTGGAGAGGGAAATAAAAAATAAAAAGTGTGTTTTTTGTGAAAATTTATTTAAGTTTTTAGGTCATGAATATTCAATTTTTTTAATTAAGCACATGATAAATGTTTCGGATGAGTGTCGGGCCAGCTTTCGTGCCGAGAAATTATTTTGTGCGGTTACCGGACTGTCCAGAGGCGAATCAGAATGCGCCACGTCACCCGGTACACAGCACCGGTACACAACAAAAGAATGATGTGGCCCACCCTTATTCACCTTTACATGAAGTGTTGGTGTATCATGGATGCTATCTATGACTAGTATATAATGTGTGGTATAATGCATATGATATTGGCATGCCACCGCTATTTAATTCAAACCATCAAGCTCTATGACATTTGCAATCTCACTAAAAGTGGAATGCATGCCATGCAAAATGGATTGTATTAATGCAAATGTATTCTTTTGTATTAATGCAAGATAATTCTCCTCTCATTCCTCTTCTAGTTCAGCTCATGAAGAGGAACTTGGATTTTCTGCTTGGTCAGACTCTGCTTGGTCCTCAGGAGGGATAGTTGTTATAGCGGTAGTAGATCCAATCTTGTGGTGGTGTTGGGAGAATTTTATGGGGGACTGCTCATTATGATGCCTCATCATGTAGATCACCTGTATGGCCTTGGATACATAGCCTAAGTGTTACACCCTGATGTTCACCTTGAGGAGCTTGTGTGGGTTCTTCTGCTATCACAATGGGTGATAGGTGGCTATTAGGAGCCTTTATGGCCTATGTAATAACTAGCCTTTGGTGGTGCTTCTTCATCAAGCCCATTCTTTTATGAGCTTGAGGACACTGTGCACTTTTGGCAAACATAGATTCGAGATTATTCCTTTGCATTGCAGGGTCCTGACATTGTTGAGTCCAGAAAGATTTCTTCAGGTCGCCAACAGAGCTATACCTTTTCACATATTTTAGATTTATAAATTTGTTGTAGATGAGAATACTCACTTTGATTCCAGAGCTGGTTGTGTTGGTTGTTGCTCGGGTTGAAATTGTTGAGCATGTAGTTCAGCATTTCTTCTTTTCTTCTACTTGCCGGACAGTTGTTCTCCAAATGAGGAACAAGGTCTTTCAGATTTGAAAGGCTCAGTTGGCATGGTGATAGTGTTTGTAGTTATGTTAGAGCTTTTGTAAAGTGGCAGTTTTCCTTCATGATTGGGGGCTAGATATTGTAGTTTTTTGAAGACTGAGATCTTATGTGGGGCCTTTGCGATGATGGCAGCTTCAATCAGCCTTGATCGTTGTATGGGAAGGTGTGCATGTTACGCAGATGCTTCAGCCAAATGAGGCCTTCTAGTATGCGCTCAAATAGGCATGCCGTGAAAAGTAGTGGCGACAACCATGATAGTGAAAGTAAAAATTTGCAGGCCACAAAATTGGATGGTGATATAATCATCTCTAGTATTGCCAATGGCACGAGCATCTCTAGTATTTGTAAGATCGTTGGTGAGCTGGATGTTGGCTCCACATTTAAGTTGTTCAGTGAAAGGTGTACTATGAAGATCCATTCTGCATAAATAAAAGATGAGGATTAGTAATAAGTATTTGACATATCACTCTATACTTTCAAAATGCAAAGGTACAATAATATGTCGCATTGCATTAATTGAGCAAGCTTTTTGTGATAATTATAAGCATTCAAAATCATGTTCATTCATCTTAAATCACGCAACATTCTCCAGCCTCAAATTTAGGTGTTTAATGCATTGGTCGAAGCTTATGCATGTAAATTGATTTCAATATTCAAAGGTGTTACACAAACTCTTTGATGCGATTTCCCGACATGCTTGTGCATTTCTTGAAGCACTTGTGCAATGCACTTACATGCTTGCATAATTTTCAATACACTTAATAAATGCGCTTACACATTCACTAGTAGATTACGTTTTTTATGTGCTTGCATAATGCATTAGCAGGTTTTTAGTACATTTGCTTGGTATGTTTAGGGGACGCATAGACATGATTTTTTAAAGTGATTTGACGTGCCCTGCATACTTAAAATGGCAGTATGATCCGTGATGTGCAATTGCAAGCTGCATTGTCGTATTAAAGATTTTTTGTTTAGGTGGCTTTTTCTATTCACGGAGCATAGTCTTGGCTCATGGCACATGTACAAGCTTTCTTTTGGACAATTAATGTGCGCAAAACTTAGGCATTCATAGGCCCATGACATGCAATTTGTTTTACTATATCTTTTTTGTTTAGAAACCATTCACATGATTGCAACTATTTCATATATGTAAGGGTCTAATGTGATGGTTGTTTGCATGAATGTATTATCATTAAAGCATGCTTGTGACTTTGCATTTTAAATTGATTACTGCTCGCATTCTATTCGCTTGTGCGTATGTTGAGGATCTGATTGCAAGAAAGGAAAGCATGAGCTGGAATCCAAAATTTATTTCACATTATTCTTTTTTATTGTCTCATATGATTGGATTCTTCTATCCTACCATGTTAAAAAATGTTTATATGAGTCTTTGTATACTTTTTTGAAATTTACAAAATTTTCACTCCGTCAAAAAAGGCACACACATATACTTATATTTGAATTTCCTCAATGTGCTAAGAAAGACGAGCACAAAATTTACCCGTTGCATCAAGAACATCACCTACGAGTTTCCCAGTTGCATTATGGCACGCAAGCTTCATTTGTTGCGTCGAATGCATCCCATTTGAAATTTTAGAGATTTTTGAGAGTTTGTGAATTTATACGAAAGGTTGGAGTAACTCCAGTGGAAGGTAAGATTAGAGAGAGTCGCCTTAGATAGTTTGGTCACATAAAACGACTGCCTTCCAATGACCCAGTTAGGAAAGTAGATGTATTAGATTTGGCTTAAGTTAATAAAGGTAGAGATAGACCTAAAAAGATTTGGTTAAAAAATATTAGAAATAATATTTATTTATTAGATTTAAATGAGAATTTGGCTCTTAACAAGACACAATTGAGAAAGAAGGATTAATGTAGCTAACCTCACGTAGTGGGATTAAGACATTGCTGTTGTTGTTGTTGTTCTTTCTTTTTCTCATTATTTTTCTTTTTTGCTTTTTGTTCTCTCTGTTTTAGAGAGAGAAATATGAGAGAGGATGGAATGAGAGAGAGGAGGTTGAGAAAGTATGTGAGAGAGAATCAGTGAAGGAGAGAGAGAGATGGAGAAAGCAATAGAGAGAGACAAAATGAGATGGAGGGTAGTTTGATAACATGATTTGAGGAAATGTAAACAACTAAGCAACCAAGGTTAATTTGCATAGATTTATGATGGATATAATTTTCTTCTTTATAAAGCTTACTCCAAACAGTTGGGATAAGAGTAAATAATGATGAAGAATCCTAATTTTCATTTCCGCTGGACATTGTGGGAATAAGTTGTGCTATTGTAGGAGCATATATCAGATGGATTGCATTTGAAGAAGCTTCTATGCTGGGTGATCCTTAGATTGTTGTGGTTTAGAATATTTATTAATTACCATTACATGTTTGAAGTAATCTTTTTTTGTTTTATGGTTTTTGTATTTCTGTGTTTTGAGCTGTTGTTTTAAAATGCTAACATGCTTTCTTTCTAATTCTTGTGTTCTTTCTTGATCATTCATATTTTGTACAACTCCTTGTTTTTCCATTATCATTTTAAATAGGATAGTTCAATCAGAATCAATCAATCATCATCGTCATTAGTCTTATCTCAACAGTTATGGGTTGAAAGCAGAATCAATGTTTTTAATTTATAATCTATAAGTGCAAGTTGTTCATTGTTGTATGTCTTTTTCTGATTTTAGCTCTTTATTGACGTCTATGGTTAGTTTTTTAAACATAACTTATTATTTACCCACTTGTCGTGCATTAGTTGCTTCTAATTTATTTTGTGTAAGCATTAAAAACAGATTATTTTTCTTTATGTTTTATTTTCTCCTAATGCAGGCACTAAGCAAATCTACTATGAGGCTGAGAGACTCGTTGCTTCCAAAGGAAGAACCTAAGTTGGCTATACCTCTTTTATTACTTATAGCACAACACCGCTCCATGTAAGATTGCCAACTTTCATCAATTTTAGGATATTTTGAATAGTGTGCCCTGTTTTAGATTAAACAGCACCATCCCACATGATAATTCTTGGCTGTTTCTCTTTCCTTTGCTTAACAACACACCACATTCTCTCCACCCAAATCACCAAGAAAAATTAGTATGGAATATTGAATCTCAGTGGAGTATTATCAGTATTTGCAATGACTGAAACAATTTTTCTAATTGGAAAATATGTTTCTTAATGGCTTCGTTAAGGTTTTTACTTCTTGTTCTTCTCAGGGTTGTAATACACGCTGATGCTCCCTACATTAAAATGGTTAGCGAGCAATTTGACCGTTGTCATGGAACACTTCTTCAGTATGTGGAATTTCTCTTAAGTGCTGTTACTCCAACTTCATCATATGCTCAGCTAATCCCCTCACTGAATGATCTTGTTCACCAATACCACCTCGAACCAGAGGTAATTTTTCATTTTCTATCTATCACTTTCTAAACGGTTTCTACTAGCCGATATATTGAAGCTCCTCCCTATCTATAATTACTGATAACACCTTTAATCGTGTGCTATTAAATTGGTTTTTTCTCCCTTCCGTGTGATTGTTTTATTTCCAATCAGGTGGCTTTTCTAATATACCGACCGGTACTGAGGCTCTTCAAATGCAACAGTCCTGAAGTCTTTTGGCCCCTAGATGCGATGGAAGAAACTCTTGTGACAATTGAAGGAAATGATGTTGAACAATCTTCTAGTAACATTGTTTTGGATCTGGGTACTTCCAAAAATCTAATCACGTGCGTTCTCTTGCACAATGAGATTTTTGTTCTCACCTGTTTTATTGGACTATTGGAGGTCTTATGCCTGTTGATTTTTATTTTATCAATATTCAACTATCCTTTCCTGACAGTGCTTTTGTTCTTTGCAGGTGGGTAGATCTCTTGGAAGGAGTTAGATCAATGCTACCTGTTAAAGCTTGGAATAGCCTCTCTCCTGACCTCTACGCCACATTTTGGGGGCTTACTCTTTATGATCTTTATGTTCCAAGAAATCGATATGAAGCAGAAATTGCGAAGCAACATGCTGCTATTAAAGCATTAGAAGAGCTCTCTGATAATTCAAGCATGGCTATTACAAAACGTAAGAAAGATAAGGAACGAATCCAAGAATTACTTGATAGACTTGCCAGTGAGCTTCAGAAGCATGAACAACATGTTGCATCTGTGCACCATAGGCTTAGACGGGAGAAGGACAAGTGGTTGAGTTCCTGCCCTGACACATTAAAAATTAATATGGAATTTCTTCAGCGATGTATTTTTCCACGCTGCATCTTCAGCATGCCTGATGCTGTGTATTGTGCTAAATTTGTGCACATGCTACATTCTCTTGGAACACCATTCTTCAACACGGTCAATCATATTGATGTTCTCATTTGTAAGACATTACAGCCCATGATCTTCTGCTGCACCGAGTATGAAGCTGGCAGATTGGGAAGATTCTTATATGAGACACTTAAAATGGCATACTATTGGAAGGTTATTGACCTTTTGAAATAAGAGCATGACTATTCATTTATGAATTAATTAATTATCTTGATCCACCAATTATTCAGAAGCTCCTTTTTTGCAGAGTGATGAATCTATTTATGAACGTGAATGTGGAAACATGCCTGGGTTTGCTGTTTATTACAGATATCCCAATAGTCAGCGTGTGGCCTACGGCCAATTTGTTCGAGTATGTTCATACTCTATATAAACAATAAGCTAATGAATATCTAATTTTATCACTTATGCTGTGCACATTATTTGAAGTTCATTTTTTGCTCAGCACTTAGTAACTACCTTGGTAATAGAAGATGTCTGTCTTTAGGGTTTGTATTGATGCTTTTTTTGCCCTTCTGTTACAAAACACTGGAATGCAAAACTTATGGGACTCCTACAAAATGTGTTTCTCACATATAGTATAATCCTTTTACAACTGTGGTGTTGGAATAAGTGCATAAATCATGGGTATAAAGGTTTAGAAGATAGCCATCTTGGAATCTCTTGTGTGGACTCACTACTTAAATCTTTTGGCTTTTAGGTGCTTGCCAATATTAATGATGCTTGCTGAGTCTCCAATGTACTCCTTTTCCTTGCACATTCTGAGCGGCTATGCACAGTTATTTATTTTAAGGAATGAACCTGAATTGAAATTAAAAAAAGAAAAGAAGATTAGTGAATGGTGTCTTGATGATTACATGATGTATGTGAAAGAAAAGGTCGGTTGTTATAGTATTCTTTACTATACTGGAGGCGATGAATCTGTATTTGCTAAACTCCTTGATTTTTCTCTAACATCATATTCAATATATGATGATCGTATTGACAATTATTATTTTATCATCTCACTTCTTTTCATTTACTTCTACCAGTTGTGGTTACTTACTATTTCTGTCATCCATTAGTGTTTTTTTTACCATGACTTCCTTGATTTTACAATCTTGTTTTGAAATTTTTTTTATATAAATATGTTGATTTAGATGTGATCTGTTTTCTTATAGGTGCATTGGAAATGGAGCGGAAGGATGACCAGGTTACTGGCACAATGTTTAGAGTCCACTGAGTACATGGAAATTCGCAACGCCCTTATTATCTTGACAAAAATCTCTACTGTATTTCCTGTGACAAGGAAAAGTGGTGTCAATCTTGAAAAACGGGTATACACTGGAAAAGCTTTATAAAACTGTTCTGTTTGTATCAATTTTTTTCCTTTGTATGATTCCAGAACCATTTCGTCTCAGGTGGTTAAAATTAAGGGTGATGAAAGGGAGGACCTCAAGGTGTTGGCTACTGGTGTAGCTGCAGCTTTGGCAGCTCGTAAGGTCTGTTGAAATGATCAGTCGTTAGTGATCCAACTTTCCTCATGCATTCCACCTTTATACATTCTGAGTTGTCAATATAATTTTTCCCTACTGTATTGTTCCTGGAGAAATTCATGATTCCAATGCAAAATCATTTGTAAATAATATGATGGCTTACAGGCTGATAAAAAACAAATGCAAATGACCATAGCGAGTATCTGAAATACAAAATCTCACCACTACATCCTTATAAAGTGTGCCATATATTTTAAGATATGTTATTCTTAATATTGAGGGATTGTGGTCGCTGACTTACTTTTGCCATGTTATGTTATTTGCAGATTCTAGCTGTTTAGTTTGCTATCGTTATTAAAATTATAAATTCCTGAAGGAAATCTCAATTCTTTTTCATTAGAACCTTGATTTCACTTGTATCAAACAGCTAAATGTGGGACTTTCTAATAACTTTGGCCCATTTTCATTGCAACCTAGATGTCATCGAGATCAAACATTGTTAAATTCAGAGAATTTGGGGAGAGAAAAGGCTTAATTTTATCATACAAAATTATCCCTATTTATAGATCTAAACAAAATGTCTTAATAAAGAAACAAATAACTACATAATCATGCATAATTGCTTTAATATAATCATTCATAAACCAGCCACCCAAATATAGAAGGAAATCGGCGTGATCCAGGTGTGCCTTCCATGGATTTCCATCCTGGCCGTGGGATCAAGTATCAAGGGACGGTTGGGATTTAATAAAGATCGACATTATCTAGTTGAGCCTCCCACGGATTCCCATCATGGCCATAGGATTAAGTGCTAAGGGACGGTTGCAATTTTAACACTCCCCCTCAAGCTGGGGAATACAGATATGTCATTTCTAGCTTGGTAATTAATCGTAGAAAAGTAGAGTTATCAAGTCCCTTAGTGCACCATAGATTCCTTCATTTGGTCAAAACTTTGGGATGAATTAGCTTCAGACATTGCGGCAATATCAAATGATAGCGATGAAGGCTATATTAATCAAGCCTGTAAGGTGCGGTGTAGCAATGAAGGCTGTGTTGAATAGTAGCCCTCAAGATACCGGAAAATAGCAATAAAGGTCGGTGGTGGGACAACAGGAAAAATGGATTAATTATCCTTTTGATCTGTCTCTCTCGGTTCTCAAGGGAAGGCTAATAATGAAGGCATGATAGTAAAAAAAGGAAAAAAATATTTTTTAGGGTTGCGGCAAGTTTCAAGGATAGGATCAGAAATATATGTCTCAAGCGACTCAACAAGCAGATCTCCTCCTTCCTAGGTCATACGACTCCACTTGAACAGACTCATGTTCGATTGGCCAGTAAAGGTGCACGCAAGGCCTTTAATTCCTCTGGTTTGACCGTAGGAAGGAGTGCAAGTCTTGCACTCTTGCTTGTCCCTGCCCCTGCATGGGAGGGAACTCTCGGCTCTTTCTAGACACACGTAGGAGGAGGTCTCGGTCAACTCCGTACGTCACACGTAAGAGGAACCCTCCCACTCGATCTCTCCTCAACTTTGGATGCACAAAGGAAGCAGAAGGGCCAATCTTCCTTTGAATTATGACAATGAATGTCAGTGGAAAGACCAATGTTCCTCATAATTTTGGCAATGAAGGCCGGAGATGAGAATCTGTATTCCTTAGAATTCCAGCAAAATAGGTTGATGGTGGGAACTTGTATCCTCAAAATTTTGGCAACAAGGACCGGTGGTGGGAACTTGTTTTCTCAGAATTCCAACAATGAAAGTTGGTGGTGGAAACCTGTATTCCTTAAAATTATGGAATTGGAGGCCAATGGTAAGAACAATATTCCTCAGAATTCTGGCAATGAAAGTCTGTTGTGAGAACCTATATTCCTCATAATTCCAAAATTGAAGGCTTGATGGTGGGAACTATGGCGGCATGCATGCCGACAGAAAAGCTGTCTAGATGCACGGTCTCTCGTCTAGACACAAAAGCTCTTGCTTGTCTCCTCTCGGTTTTGCCCCAGACGCACGCAAGAGGAGGCTACCGCCTGCAGTAAGCTTCAAGAATGCTCGATTTTTCTTCGTTTGGCCGCACGCCTCTCTCTTCCCATTCGGTTGCACGTACATAACAGAGGTTCATGATACGTTCGTCTATCTCAACCGAACGCAGAGACTGGATGTATGCAGGAACGAACAAGACGGGAACTCACTCCCTTCTCTCGGTTGGACGTACACAGGAATGACAGGCCGAGAACTCGCTCCCTTTCATTTCTGAAGAGAAGGCTCGACCTTCCCTTCAGAAAGTCCGAGAGTTAAAAAAAAAACTCATAATTTTGGACAAGTAAATGAAGGGCTCTGATACCATGTTAAATTCAGAGAATTTGGAGAGGAAAAAGACTTAATTTTATCATGCAAAATTATCTCTATTTATAAATCTATGAAAGAAGTCTTAATAAAGAAACAAATAACTACAAAATCATACATAATTACCTTAATATAATCCTTCCTAAATCAGCCTTCCAAATGTAGAAGTAGATCGGTGTGATCCACGTGAGCCTCCCATGGATTCTCATCCTAACTGTGGGATCAAGTGTCAAGGGACGGCTAGGATTTAATAGAGATCGGCTTGATCTAGGTGAGCCTCCCACGGATTCTCATCCTAGCTGTGGGATTAAGTACTAAGGGACAGTTGAGATTTTAACAAATATCTAAATGTTGGACAAAAAAATAACATTCAAATAACAAACCCTTGTTTTGGGATGTTTAAATCTTTGCTTCAGGGAATAATCCCATAGGACGGTTCAAAATTAGAAGAGGGAGGTACTGTTAACTTGGCCAAAATCCTCTTCTTTTCCATATAGCTGTTGAGGAATGATGTTCCCTTCCCTTGAGCCTATACCAGCTTACAGGTAATCATCAGGTTTTTAAGGTGCTCCGCTTAAGATGCTGGCGAAACAGCTTTGTTCATGGTATTTTACTTAAATCTAGTGGTTAATAGTGCTTGATTAAGATCATTTATTTAATGATCTGATTTTTTTAACCTCAGCATAGAATATCTTATCCATCACTACGGGCATATGGAAAAATTACGATCAAAGGTCATTCCCTGCTGATGTCTGAATCAATGGCTTTTGGATTAAATGGATATAAAGTTATGTTGGGTTTTGAGAAAATTTTCTTTATTTGTCCTTCATGATGCCCACTTTTTTGAGCTTTCTTTATTTTTATATCGATAATAATTTTGCGAGATCCTCTTTGGTTTTTTATTATTTCAACCAGAGATATAACTGATTACTAATACAACCTGGCTGAGATGTGTGTTTCAATTCGCTATGGACTGTCAGCTATCTTACACCTGATAATTTGACATGTCCCAGATCTCTGATAGTTTGGAAAACCTAATCTAGCTAGTTAGTCTTTCTTTTGCCTCAAGCAGTGCCTACTAGGTTGCGAATTATTATTGAGTTGTTTAATCAAGTGTATCTTTAGGACCACACTTGTTTGTTATAATAGAATTCTTCTTTGGGAAATTAGAATCTGATTGTCTTTTCATGTTTTATAATTTGGTATTAGTTGCATTAGTTTAATCTTTATTTAACATTATTTCAATTTTTTCTTCCAAAATTTTTAGAGCTCATGGGTTTCTGAAGAAGAATTTGGAATGGGATATCTTGATCTGAAGCCTGCGGCATCACCAGCTAAGCCTCTGACCATCAACCTGGGTAGCCTACCTAATGGTTCTACTCCCAGCGTATCTCAAAATCAAAATGAGATGATTGGTTCAAGGAATTCCTCGGCTGTTAATCTACCTGTAGATCATACAGGTAGAGAGCAGATGATCTCTGCTAGATCAGCAGAGGGCAGATCAGAACGTCCTGAAAATTCAGCCCCCATGAAGTCTGATTTGGCACAACAAAGATCAAGGGTTATCTCCTCAACTAATGGGTTACCTAGTCAGTCTACTTTATCTTCGTCCCATCAGTCAATCATGAGTTCTAAGGCCCCCGGTAATTTCAAAAACACAGAAGAGCTTAATAGAGTATTGGCAATCGAACCTGAGGTATTTTATTACTTTGCTTCCTTTTGTCTCCTGCTTTAAATCCCTTGATGGGAAATGTTAAGTTAATTGTTCTTTTTTTAATTTGCTTAATCCAGTTTTTTGGCACATCAACTAAGTTTTTAGCCAATATTTACTTCACTAATTTTCAAAACTCCAAAATTTACTTTGCTAACAATAAGATCAATTATCAATAGTCAACATTCCAAATAGATTTGAACCATCCCATTTTCTATCTTTTTTTAGGCCCATTTATGTTTATGGCTGAGTTTACTTTTTTTTATTTGAATTGTTTCATTAGGTGTTATTTTCTTTCGGATTACGACAACAATAATAAAATCAATCCTTTATCACACTATGTAAGGTCGGCTACATGAATCCTTTTTCTCCATTCTGTCTTATTAATACTTAAATTTTCATTTAAATGTAATAAAAAAGTCATTTCTAATATTTTCTAACAAAGTCTTTTTAGGTTTACCTCTATCTCTCTTAACATAGGCCAAATCTAATACATCTACTCTCCTAACCGGATCATCAGAAGGACAACGTTTTATGCGACCAAACCATCTAATGCGACTCTCTCTAATCTTATCTATCGTTAGAGTTACTCCAACCTTTTCACGTATATGCTCGTTTTGCATTTTATCTCTAAGAGTAAAGCCACTCATCCACCTGAGCAACACTTAACTAAAGTGTATGCTTCTCTTTTAATAGCCGACATTCTACGCCATAAAGCATTGCAAATCGCTCCACTCTTATAGAATTTTCACTTAAGTTTTGTATTTTTCTATCACACAATAGGCCTGATGCATTCCTCTACTTCAATCATCCAACTTAAATTCTACTAATAATATTCCCACCTATTTCACCATTACTCTGGACAACAGACCCGAGATTATGATGCTTGATACAAAATTCTTTTATTGTCTAGTCATATTTAGCTAATACTTCACTCTCTAGTCTTGCGTTGTATGAACAACTGTCTTGATCTCAAGAATCAACGGCTTAATTTGTTCTTCTAGAACACTGGAAAGCTGGATGTCATAGGAGTAGAAATTTACTTAGTAGTTATTATATAAGCGTTCTAGTAAACATATTCCCCATTTCAATCTTAATTAGCAAAGACACAGGTATGAGACTGGATGGCATGTATGTTTATATGTTCTTTTAAATTTTTTTTTTAATAATATGGTTAGCAATATACTAAAAAATATTTGTACAGTAGTGTTCACTTGATATAAAATTATAATTGAAGAATTCAGGACTAGAATATGGATGTTTATATTGTATATATGCATTATGCAAGATTAAGTTTATGTTCTACATTTTAACCAATTTATCGCCTAAACAATTGAGAAGCTTGTGATGCCATGCCAAAAAGAATGAAAAATGTTCGAAGCATCTTGTTTCTAATATTTTTAGCCCAAATAGTAAGCTGGCCTCCAAGTGTATGCGACTACACAACTATGAAAATTTTGTTCAGGGAACACAAGAAATGTAAAATTAAAAAAAATATCACTTTTGGATTAAATCGCTTCTAAATATTATTGAGACTTAGAGAATGTATTGTGTTTATAATAAATGTAGGAGTATAATATGCCAAATATGTATTATGCTTTTGAACTTGAAAATGTGTATCTTCTATATTGTTTTGCAATAGTTAAGAAAGCTGGTGTTTTTTGTATTATGCGAATGTAAATATATTATACTTGTATAACGCATCTAATTTGCTACGTAGGATTTCTATACCCTACTGTATTCTAGAGATCACTTGAACTCTGCATTTTATTGCTATGCTGACCTGTTTGAACTAAGATTTTGTCTGTCTATCTATTTTTTATTGCCTTGATAATCTCTACTGTTCCAGGTGCTTTAGATTCGGGATGCCTGTCCTGTTTAATATAAATTAAGAATTTCTTTGTTTCATTTGTCTTATCTGTAAAAAAAATGAAAGCTAAGTGGCTTTTCTAGCTGTTAAAAAAAATGAAAACTGAAATTTTCATTTAAAACATTGGGCCCTTAACCGGCATTTTTTATTGTTGATAGTCAAAATCTCAGTTCAAACGATCTGCACAGAGCTCGGTTGGGAAGCAAACAAAACAGGAGGTTGCTAAGGAAGATGCTAAATCAGGAAAATCAATTGGTAGAGCAGCAAATCAGGCTTCTGCTAGTTCTGACAGAGATTCAGCTCATCCTTCTGAGGGTAGGCAGAGTGGAATTGCTATCACTGCTGCTGCTAACAACGGTAACTCAATTCAGCCATCAGGGAAGGTACCAGCTTCTGCTTCAAGAACTGACTTACATGGTAGCCTGCTAAGGACGGAAACTGGGGCATCTAAACCATCGGATAATAATACAGAAATTTCTGAAAATTCAAAAAGCGTCTCTGTAAGGGCTTTACATGCTCCTCTCCCTGATGACTCTTCAAGTAAACAACAGAAAAGAACAATTACAGTTGAAGAACAAGATAGGATTAGTAAGCGTAGGAAGGGTGATTCTGAAGGAAAAGATGACTATGTTTTTGATGCTCGATTGCTCGATAAAGCTCATCTGTTAGATCATGAAAGGATTAATACTGATGAACAATACCAAAACAGATCTACAGAAAAGCTGTTGGAAAAACTGAAAGATAAGGGCTCGGAAAGATTGGACAAAGAGCATAAGGAGAGGCCGGACAGATCTGATGTGAACCGTGGTGAGGACATTCATGATAAATCACGGGATAGGTCAATGGAAAGACATAGTAGAGAGCGTTCCAGTGAAAGAATGCAAGAGAGAGTGGCAGATAGGTGTCTTGATAAACCTTTAGATAAAACAAAGGATGACAAGGGTAAACCTCGACACACTGATGTCTCTGCTGATAAATCTGATGAGAGATTTCATGGACAAAGTTTGCCGCCTCCACCCCCACTCCCTCTCAGTTTTGTTCCTCAATCTGTTGGAGGCAATAGGAGAGATGAGGAGGCAGATAGAAAGAGTGGTACAAGCAGACACATTCAAAGGCTGTCTCCTATGCACGATGATAAAGATAGGAGGCATTCTGAGGAGAATGTTTCTCAGGATGATGTGAAACGTAGACGAGAAGATGATTTTCGAGAGAGAAAACGTGAAGAGCGAGATGTTATTTCTCTTAAGGTATGGCTCTCTCTTTTTTGTAGTTGTACATTTAATTTTTGAATCTTATACAAAGATAGATAAGACTTAGATATGTAAATTAGAGTTGCGGGGTTTGGACATGTATTAAGAAAGGTAGAAGATGCACTAATAAAACGAGTAAATAAGATTTTTTGTTGGAAAATTAGGAAGAGAAATGGTAGGTTAAAGGTAAATTGATTAGTATTGTAAAAGGATTTGTATAAAATAGGTTTAACACATAAGGCTGAATGGATAATGAAGATTCATAAAATTTACCTCGAATTGTTAGGACGGTGCTAATGACGATTATAATGTCCATGTACGTAGGACTTGCTCAGAGTTTAAGGATTGTTATTCTTATTGCTGTATTACACAGGTAAATGCCGTGGATGAGTTAGCTGGCGCATCGCCTTTTTCCTTTTTTTTTTAATTATCCTGTATAGCTTTGTGACTGGTTTGTTATTTAACCCAATTCGAATATATTTTAGATGAGAAGTATCAGGTTTGTCTGTTTTGATGATGGTGGCAGATAGTGGTTCACCAATGTTTTCTAAGGTGTGGATTTTTTTTTTTGACTTAATTGCATGGCTTTGGGTCCTTGAAATCTCCATCTTCACAACATTTATATCTCTATTTGCAACTTATTTGGCTAATGTTATTAGTATCTTATATCGAATTCTCTCTTTCTTTCATTCTTATCACATATAGTAAACCGGTCGAATCCATATTAAGCCTTTGAGGAATCATGCAGATGGATGGCATATGTTTTTGTTAATCCTTAACAAATACTCGTTAGAAAATTAATCAAATATCATAGCCTAAGATGAATAAACTTAAGTTAATTCACGGAACTTAGTTTATACTACTGACAATCAGATTTAAAAGGTATGATGTCATTATTGTTTTTTTTTTAAGAGCGAGCTAGACAGTTATCAGAATGTGTTTGTTTGATTCTTTGTTCACATATGAGTGTTTTTGATGAACAAGTAACTGCCATGCTTTTTATCATTTGCTCTATGAAATTGTGATTACATTTTATTTTGTGCTCAAGGTGGATGAAAGGGATCGAGAGAAAGGGAATCCTTTGAAGGATGATGTGGACCCGACAGCAGCAAAGCGACGGAAACTTAAAAGGGACCATATATCTGAATCAAGCGGGGATTATTCAACGGTCATGTCATCACCTTCCTCTTTGGCATTGGGAATTCCTCAATCATTTGATGCAAGGGAGAGAAATGATAGAAAAGGAGGATTGATACAGCATCGAGCTGCCTATGCTGAGGAGCCACTACCTAGGTTGCATGGGAAGGAAGCTGCAGGCAAGACTACTCGACGAGATGTTGATCAGTATCCTTACGAGTAAATTGATTTCTGTGATAGCCAACAAAAACAAAACAAAAACAAAACAAAAATAAAATCAACCAATATTTATGATATCATATATTTTTATTTCAAACAAAACAACAACAACAACAACATCAAGCCTTTGTCCCACTACGTGGGGTTTGCTACATGAATCCTTTTTTTCGCCATTTAAAGGATTCTTGTCATGATTCTTCGACAAATTTTTTGCCGGTTGTCGACTACCTAACGCAACCCTCTTGGGACCTGACAACGACAATGTTATATATTTTATTTCAAAAAAAAAAAACACAAAAATAAATGGTAATCACAAACAACCCCAAGCTAATGAAACCATAAGATTTTGTACTATTTATGCCACTTTTATTGTTGTTCTTAATCAGCCGGCCTCAGACTTCTTGAGAGAGAATGGGAGGAAGAGAAGCGACAGAGAACTGAAGCAAAGAGAAAGCATCGCAAGTAGGCTTCAGATTTGTTGTGCTAGTCTGCTGGCTCCAAGTGGCGTGAGTGAAATCTCTCTATTTATGCTGCTGCTGCTTCTCATTTTATATGATCAGTTCTGCAGCTTCGGTCTTAGCTTTCGAGCCTTCAGAGTCTATACTGCAAAAACGTGATGGTGGCTGTGATATTGTTAAACAAGTTTCCTTTGTTCAATAATGAATCATAATTAATGGAGATGAAATCAAAGGCTCGCATTTTTTTTGAAGCAGATTCAAAATCTTTCAGAGGAAAAAGAGATTTACAAATGATTGAATGGCATAGAAAGCTGAACGTTTCAGATGAATTCGTTCTTCTAAGATCATGTATAAAATTAATTTGGATCCTTGCTGTTCAAGTTAGTTTCAATGTCTATGCAGAGGTGGCCTGTAGCAGGGTGTTCAACGTTATTTTTCCCATATATCACCAGTCATTGATCCTTCGTTACCTCTGCTTTGGATATTTAAATGGCATAAAACTATGTTTGTACATGATTTGATTTTTCCTGGAGACGTCTAACATCTATAGAACCTACTAGAACATGTTTTTTTTTTTCCTATTTAATTTTGTGATCAGGATGACTTTTTTGTCCATTTAAATTTTTTTTAGAAGTGTTAATATTATGTTTTTATTGATTATTTAGGTGATTCAAATCATCAAATAAATTTAATAGGTAAGAAATTCAGCTTCAACAATAAATTTCTACTATAACAGTTTTATATACATTTAATAATTTATAATAGGTAAGAAATTCAGCTTCAAGCATGTAGCATATATATCATTGTATTATATTTTTTCTTTCCTTTTTTTTCTATCTGGAAGTTATGTCAAAACGTTAATATGTGAATTAATTTCTAAAATTCTATCAATTGATTTTGAGATCTTTATCAATTAAGTTAAAAATTAAGGCTTTATTTGGAACAGTTTTTTTCATTGTTATTTAAAACAATTTTTTTATACAAAAATATCTGATTTAAGAAAATTTTTAATTAAAATATTGCTTTAAAAATATTGAGAAGGCTGCCCCCAAACGAATCATAAAACTCATTGCAAAAAGCATTGAGATGGCCTTTTTGAATAAGCATAAGATGTATCTAATAAAAAATCATCAGAAGCTGTTCTATCATAACAGATAAAATTGATTAGATCAGCACCAATTAACCGGCTTTTACTGCTTGAATAAAAACGAATAATTACATTTCTCAAAATAATTGAATGAGTTAAAACTACAAAATGACAACTAACTACAACATCTGTCTAAATTTGGTCTTTGAAATCCTTGAACAGAACATGAACATTAGCAAGACACAGGAGAGCATAAAAAGCCTGAAGTAGGTTCTCATCTCACTCATCCCAAACTCAAGCCCGTCCATCTTTTTGCCCTTCTCTTTGTTATTTCCTTCTAATAGCCCTTCCACCGAATCGCCACCTATAGAAATCCATCTACCTTCTGTCGTCTTTGTGCTCCTTAGCAGCTCAGGACCTGCCTTAAACATGGCAATGAATGCTCCACACCACTCGTTGACAACTCTCTACAGGTTAAAGTAGCACTCATTGAGATAAAAAGTACGCACGCAAGTGTATATAATAGAAAAGTTAATGTAATTGATAAAAGATTTTAGATGCATCGGCACGAACTACTTGATGAGCAGAAGCACTTATAATATTAATAATCATAGCATCAACAATAATCCTTATGGCTATAATTCTATCTCCAATTATATTGATTTTTATAACATTATCCTCCAAACTCTCATCTATAATCACACCTACATCATTTTTAATAAGACTTTTATCATAATATCATAGTTTAAACCTAAATTATCAATCTCCTTAGCCTTCTCTTTCAACCAATTTAGTTTCTTGAATGCATAGAATATTTATCTTTCAATGAATCATAATTTCTATTAACTCCATTATACATATATTTCAAAATTCTATCCTAATTTTAGTTTTATGGACAAAAATAATTAACTAAATAGAAATTCAATATTATTAACTAAAGGGATAAAAAAGATTATATAGGTCGACTTTAATGCACATTTAGCAGTATAAAGTTCAAATACCAATCTGAAAACCCCTAGTCATGATGGCAATAAGAGTACGTACTTGGAAAGTGACAGCATCAACTGGATTGAACATTTTAAAGCAATCTTTTGACGAGGCACTTGGATCTCCATAAATCTGCTTAAGATGGAAAATAAAGGGTTAAATGGTGCTCATGTTTATGAATGTATCCAAGACAGTGAAAAGTTGAGTTTCTGCAGCAGATCTAACCTCAAAAGTAAAAGACAATGGCACCTTGGCAATTTCATACATGTAATCAGTAGTTGTTCCATGAGCAAGATACCTGAAAACTTTAGTTATGAGAAAACGCTTAGATTTTGGTTTTTGATGAATGACTTCAGTATGAATCATGTCACATACCCAACAGAACCACCTCCAGATCCGACTAAACATCTGTCTTTGAAGTGATGATGGTTCAAACCCTTTAGCATGGATTTCATCAACTGAGCTGTAACCCCATCTGGTGTTGTATTTTTATGATCATATGGCATGAAGAGAGCCTGATTAACAAGATATATGTAAAGCAAAAAAATAAATAATATTACAACAGTAGATTCCTCATTGATAATTCATGGTGTACTCGGCAAAGAAGGCTACTAATAATTCATGTAATTCTATTCATATAATTCTAGTAAGAATTAATTTCGTAGTCGTGGCATTTAGTTTGATAATTACCATGACAAAGTCTCAATAAGATAATATGTCCCAGGCATCATAAAGATGGAAAAACTTTGGCTCTGGGCATGCTGCGCTAAATTTTGTTCTGCATATACGATCTTTCTATGCTTCAAAACAATTTTTCTACTTAGCAAGAAAAATTCTGTTTTCTCTTGTTAAATAACCCTCAATAATTGTATTTATTGTAGCGTTACAAAACAAAAGAGATGTTTTGCAACTCAAACAAGAAGTCTTTTACCTTCAGAAGTGGTGTTTTGCCAGAGCTGAATTTTAGATCAGGTCTAGAAACAGCATGAACCGTAAATTAGATGAATCTACCAAAGCTAGTTACTAAGCTATACTTACTAATGTTTGTTCTAAAAATCCCCATCCAGCCCCATACATATTTAAGATTCCAAGTTAATTTTTTATTGGCAAATTGATATAAGAGAAGATAGTACCTAGAGATCTTGCCCTTTTACAGAACTTCATGATTTGATTTGAGATTTTCTGCAAGTGTTAGGCCCTTCCAATTAATTAGTTATCTTGATCATGAGAGAAAATATTTGACCAAGGCTTTATTATATATCCTCTATGATGTTTTGCTTTAGCTCTCTTGATGACACGTTCGATCAAAATCTCACAGTTCCGTATCCAGAATTTTCATGGACATTGATCGAAGCATATGATTATCATGAACATCAAATCAAAATGTGAGTTGACAAGCTTTATGAGGAAGCTCAATTGAAGTCAAAATGGCATAATTATGTAACTTATTTTATGGTGTCAATCTAATGCTCGTATCACTCTTCATGTTGACAATGATGGGTTCTCATAGATGAGTCGATCTATCTCTTTGTTTTTAGTTTGTTCTCATTTTAATGGATAACAAATTTTTTTATGAAATTTAAGTTTCATTTAACTCATCTAAGAATTCATTTATATTCTCGTTAAGTCTAATGCTCGTATTACTCTTCCATGTATGTCTTATGAATAAATTAGCCAATACATGCTTAAATTATTAGTTATTTGACTTATGACTGTTAGCCTAACTTCTCCGTGACATTTTGGAGAGCTCAGAATAGAAAAGCAGTGTAAAGTACCTCCATCCCAGAATGTACATTCACCCAGATATGAGGATTGAATGACTTGGAGAGCATCCGCATTATTTGAGCCTCAGGCTCACTAAAAGGCGCAGCTCCAGGATTTTCTTCATATGGATCATAATCCTGCACTAGTTGAGTTGAAATGTCAAAGCATTAAAAGGAAATGCTCTGAAAAATGTGCGCTAAAGCATTACTCAGACAAAAAAATATTACATATAAAAACACTATGAAGCATTTTGCATTCTCACAAATACAAACATCAACAATACCCAATATACAAGCTAAAAGAAATCATTCAAACTTTTTGATAGGAAAACAAGCAAACAATATTTAAGAGGGCATAGTCAAGGTAATAATTCATGATTTTTACTCAAGAAACAAGAATAAATAACAATAGCACAATTCACTATATATATAATGCAAGACAATAAGAAAATGATAATAATAAGCTGACAACAGAGTAGAAATACAGTATAATAGTTATAAAATTATTGATGACCACATGACAAAACGGGAATAAACATGAGCTAAAAAAAGATAAAAGACAAGTGAAATCACAAGACATCAAGAGGCGGAAAAAGGCTAACTTGGAGAGGAAGGTTAAAACAAATGGAATAAAATCATGATGACTTAATAAATTTAAAAAGGTATTTGACTGAGACTACAAAGGAGCAAGCATAAGGCAAACAGGTGGAGGAACTACCAACCTGCTCGTCATTTAAAACGAATTGCTAGAGGTGTACAGCAGGTTCTCAACAACAATATTACAAATTAGACCATGAATTGGATATGCTGAAAACTGCATTTCATGGTTTATAGTTATATTAAGGCTTCGTTTGGGATGGCTTTTTTATTGCTTCTCAAAGCAGCTTTCTAGTACAAAAATTTTAATTTTTATACTAAAAAGCTGCTTCAAAAAGCAATAAAAAAGCCGTCCCAAACGAAGCCTAAATCTTTTAGGTCGTGTGGACACAAACATGGCTAGATATGAATCTAATTGGGCTTCATGGACGCCCATGGAGTTACATAATATGTTACATGCAAAAGGCAACAAATTAAGATCACTCTCTATCTAAAATCATATGCATTCCCATTAAAAAGTAATAGATATATCACTCGCTATCTTATTATTTATTAAAAAAATAATATTTCTCCTATGATTATTAATGAATTGAGTTCAAGAAAGCATGCTGCCAACAACGTCAGCCAAAAAAAATACAAAACTGGGCGGACATTGAGGCGGAGCGGAGGGAACTGATTAGTTTTAAAAATTAATTTAATCTTATATATTAATAGTTATAATAATATAATTTAAAATGAGCTGTTTTTTTATTATTGGGAAAGTGAGGGCCGTGCCCCATGGCCCCCACAATAGATCCGCTCGTGCTTAAACGTGAATCTAATCTAAGGCAGCTGAAATCATTATAATCACATGCAATTCAGCAGCAAGAAAAATTTTGTTTCTCCAAAAAAACAAGTAACTCCTTAATTTAGCAAAGGACCATTTCATTCTCTCGTTAAGTTTGCATCGGGATTGAGTAGAGGCTCAACAAAACCCTACATCTCAATTTTACAGCTGAAGGTGCAAGGTGGTCAGAAGAAACTTGTCTTCTCTGAGCGTCTTCATAACATTATAGCAATACAGTAGCAGCAGCTCAGCAAGCCTATTAAATAGAAATTGCCGGTCAAACTAGCTAATTTAACTGATGTCATCTTAGAAGCTAATTTACAGATTAAAAGCAAAAATAATCTAGGGGTGCCTGCATGAAAAATTTTGAGGTCTTTATAAAGCAAAAAGTAATTCCATTTACAAAAATAAAGTGATCTTCAACACTCTCAAACTGTAGCCTTATATGAAAAACACGTGTGTTGACCCGTAATATAAAAAAAAAGGAGAGTGTCGTATACCTTCCCTCTGCCAACTCACGACGTCGCCGCTCTTCACACGACGAGGCCACACCTCGCGTCACTTCTCCCCACATCGCGAGCACGACTCGAGCGTGTCGTTAAAAAGAGACGAAGGGGACGAGGCCGAAGGCCTTAGCGAACATTTGCTCCCTCTCGTGCGATCCCGCTCGTTCTCCCTCTCTCGATTAAATTTTGAGGTCTTTATAAAGCAAAAAGTAATTCCATTTACAAAAATAAAGTGACCTTCAACACTCAAACTGTAGCCTTATATGAAAAACACTAGAAAAACCAAGTGCCGCCCACATCATGAATAAGGAACAATCAGGAACACTGTTTCAAGGGAATTTAAAAAGCATAAAATTTTATATATTCTTTCAAGTCAACAAACCTTCTCCTTTTTTCCCCAATCAACACTCCAATTTCTGTTAAGGTCTACGCCACGTCCTGCTAAGAAGCAAAAATTTTGTAGATTATTATGCCTTCGTGATAAGCTAAAATAAAAATCAAATTATTTTAATCTAACAAAAGAAATCCTTTCTGACCATTCCTTCTCTCACAGAGGTCACCAGCTTCGACTAGTTCACGCCCTTTCACATTTTCCATTGGCACAACCTGCCAATTTTAGAGGCATGTTAATTCAAAAAACATTGTTAGTTTAGAAGCCTCATATTATAATTTCTAAAACAAAGGCATTCATGAGAATCATGCAAAGCCTGAGAATAGCATGAATATTGAAACAAAAGAACAGATACAACAATATCGAAGCAGCCAATACAATATCACTAAAATATACATAATGGCAGCCATGAATACTCAATCGCCTTAAAACCATAGAAGTACAGACATAATAACGGTAGCAGTGATGGTGATAGAGAATGACAAAGAGAAGGCATGGTGAAGGTCATTATAATGACAACAAAAGAAATGATGAAGGTGGTGGCAATGAGGATATATATGGACTGAGCACCTGTGCCTATGTGGTTAAATTCTCAATAAATAGATATAGGCAGGTAGATAGATAGATTGATTGATAAAGAGGGAGAAGGGGGGATTTGGAAGATCGACAACAAAAGTACGATCTAATTGCACAAATAACAAATTATGAAAATTGGAATTACACCCGGTAATGAATGAACCATGCCAAAGTGCTAAACAGACCTTGTTTTTAGCAAACTGGCCCCAGCTCAGCTTAGCACAACTAGCATGTCAAGAATTCCTGTTCAAGCACAAACTCAAATGCAATAGAAGCATAGCCTTCGATTTCCAAATTTATAGAAGCAGATCTCAAGTCGAAGAAATAACCCCTTTACAATGCATGCATCAATTACTTCCCAAAGAGGTTCATCATTGGATACACCTTTCATAACGTAGCCTATCTGTAATTTTTTACAAATATAAAATAAATATAAATGCATATCCAAATTGGACGGAAAAGGAGCAGTTCCATTATGCATATCCCAACTACCCGCTCTGTCTGATGAAGCCGAACTCCCTCACCGGTTCGATCGACCTCCCTCATGAGGTTCGAACCGAGCCCAGCCACTACCAGCAACCAGCCGACTGTCGAAGCCCAAAAACTAACGCCCAGAGCCACTTGAGCCTATTCCACTCATGTGTTGAATTTCTCACAGCATCGACCTCCCAACATCCACTCTCATCTGATTTGACTTCAAGCCTTGCCCATGCCTTCAATATGGCAACCCCAATCCCTCAGATCGAGCAACCAAACTCCCGCACGCAACTCCTATCCCTCAATTGAACTCATGATTCTGACTCAGCCAACCCACTCGCGCACCCAGTTCGACCGATCCGCAACCGCCAGCCGAGCACCCTTCCAGCATCACTGTCGCCTCTTCCGCCTACGTTCGATCTCGCCTGATCCTCAACCCACACCATCAATCAATCGATCCCTCCAAACCAAGCCCTCCCGTTGACCTAGACCCGTCAAACTAGCCGATCCTCCCAACTGATCAAACACTTCACGACACCTAGCCGAGGACCTCACACAAGCCTAATTCGATCTCTCCTCACCAACAACAAAAATAATGGGGTAACAGAGGTACTAGGGCACAAATTTTCGGAGCCCATAGTAGTCTTTCAGTAATTATTGAGAAATCTTAAAATATATGACATCCATTCCTTAACTTGAAGGAGAGTGTGAAATGGTTGCCTAATTTTTTTAGATGGGACAAACGCTCACCAAGACTTCAAGCCTCTTTCCTTCCTTTTCCTTGACATGTCATTAATCTATAGGATCCCTATTGACTACTAATTAATCTGTGGAGTGTTCTAATTATTTTACATCAATTATATTCTCTGATTTTACATTAGATGCTTTCCTATTTTCTTCAAGGGTCGTTTCGGTAGTTGTAATATACAATATGATTTAGATCATTTTCACTCACTTTGCATTTGAAGAAAAAAAATCATTGCATTTGAGATGGTTTTAGGAGAGTTTTCACTTAAAAGTAAATAAAATAATATAACAAGATCAACTGAAATGAATAATGAATAAAACAAGCATTAACAATAACATCAATTCTTTATCCCACTATGTGGGATCGTCTTTATGAATTCTTTTTTTTTTCATTGTCCTATTAAGAGTCAAATTCTTATTTAAATCTAACGAAAAAATATCATCTCTAATACTTTCTATATATATAATTGAAGCGCATTGTTGAAGTCTTTTGCACTTGGTAAGCAAAGTGCACACTTCCCTACTCTGGATTGTGCTTTTAAAATGGCCAACACTTATGAGCAATGTGAAGCATTTTGCATTGATTGTAAAGCACTCCTAATAAAATTGGAATACAAAAATTTTTTCTAAAAATTTCAATGAATAATAGCTCAGATAGCATGCCCTCTTGTTTCCAAAGAGACGATGAAGGTTCAAATCACTAAATTTTTCTCTCAAAAACTATACAGCTAGAAAGAACCATTAACATTGTAACATAGAAAACGGTGCTAATCATGGTGTACCTACCCTTACGTTTGAAAACCATGATTCTTCTTATTATAGTGGAAAGCACTTTACTTTTAAATATACCAAAAATACCTTCAGAAATATCGGAATAAATGGGAATTATATTATTTTAGCATTTCAAAAAAAGGACCGCGTTCATGAATATGTGCAGAGTTTAAGAGGATTGTGGTGATGAATATCTTATGATTAATTACTTGCTGATATGCACTGGCGTGTTAAGAGTTACTTATGTGTTGCGAATCATTCTCCAATTTAACAGATATCAGTTTTTGATGAGTAAAAAATCAAAGAAATGCATTGCACTCAAAGAAGGAACCGGATGAGCATTATAAGAGACAGATTACTAACAATCATGGATGATTGCTCCTTGTGTTAGATATGAAGATAAGGAAGCCTATGAATCTCAAAGCTTAACCTATTAATTTGAATGTTGTCTAAAGAATTATCTAACAGTTTCAAAACCCAACCGATAGAAAGATTATCTATGAGTTTCAAAGGTCAACCTATGAATTTAAAGTTGTCTAGAGAATTCCCTTTTCACGTTTCAAGGCTCAACCTATTAATTGGTCTGATATAAGAAATCATAAGATACTTAGTCAAGCACACCACCAGAGTAGCATTTCAATAGCGATTGTCCGTTCATCTAAAGACAAAATTCATGAACTGACGCTTTAAAGCTTCAAAAAACACATTAAAGAGGCAAATAAACTTCACAGAAATAATATTAGAAAGACCAGACCTACCTTTAAAACAAGATTTTCTAGATCTTTTCCTAGAGCAGTCGGATCAAAACCAAAAATCCTATCCAGACTATGTTCTTCAGTTAGGAGAGAAAGAAGGTGCAGTGCCAACTCAGTCGTAATGAGCTCTCTCCCATGCTGTCCAAAGCTCTGGGGAAAAAATAAAAAATCTTTCAGTCAAAACATAAATGAATCAATCCACTCAACACGAGGGCTTAAACCATGATGCTAGTTTGATGGGAAAAAAAATATACTTGCTAACCTAAATGAAGTGCACAATTAAGCAAAGACCTTTCATTCAATTCAGAAAAGGAACAAAATAAAATATATAATTTTAATAAAGGCACCCCGAACATCTTTTGCCTTCACTAGAGCAAATTTATTTATGCTTAACATAGGTTTAAAAATAATATCACCAACCGTTACCAAAGAAAACTTTACTTAAAGAACATAATTCAGAACTTTGAAGGACAAAAAATTTCGAAGTACAATGTTGTAACAAGATGATGATATGAAAACACCAAGAGCAATTACCGAGAATTGTCAGAATAAAGAAAATATAAAAGACCAAATACATATATCATAAAGCCAAAACATGAACCATTCAATAGTATAGAAAAATAAAACATGAGACAGAAAAAGAGTATTTTGGACCATCTTACATGAAACCTACTAGTGAAAATAGGAGTATCAATAATTCTTTTTTTTTTTTACCAATTATGCCAACGTTGGGTGTATAGGATTTGAAATCTCCTGTCTATTAGAACATCATCACTCATAATGTCTCCCATCATAATCATCAAATTGTAGAGCATCATGACCTTCTATATCTTCAGAATAGAAGGGAGAGGAGTAACTTATTAAATCAAATAATTCAATTCTATTGTCTTTCTTATAGAAGAAGAAAAAATAAATATTTTTTGTTGGGCTAGTACGAGAAGGCATAATAGACTCTAGATCATGAGGTAAATCAATCAGTTCTAAATTCTGAATGCAAATTTGAGCTGATGGCGGAGGAACAAAAATAATTACAGTAAGAAAGGTCTGACCATTTGAAAGTTTCTCTAGCAACAGGATGTTATATTTTCTCAAATCTGGATAAACCTTGAAACAATAAAAAAAAAAACTGTCCAAAAGTTTTATAGAAAGAATAATACAAGGGATGCTTTCAAAGGGTACATTTTGTCAGTATCAAATAGATTCTGAGCCAATCCAAATATTTTCCTACTGTTAGGTAACATAGCATCCACTTACAAAGGTTCACCAAAAAACGAAGTAGTATACGGTGGATTAATTGAAAAATATGAAATTGAAGCGGAGAAAACACGACACAAATAAGAGCGATGGGTTGCTCTGCAGATGTATTAAAGTGGGGAGAGCACTTAAGCAAATGCAACTGACATTAAAGATATGTCTAGAGGAGAGTTTGTTTTAGTCTTCATCTGAAGATAATCTAATAATGATATAACAAGGATCAATAAGTTCAACGGCACAATCACCCAATAAGTGTATATCTAATAAGAATTTGAGAGACATCCATGTAAGGACTGCCCAAGAAGAATTTGCATACATTAGATAAAGGGAAAAGGACTAAGATGGTCTCTTGACTCTTTATAAAAGTCTAAAATGATCCCCAACTATATTAAAGGAACATTTTGGTCCCACCATGTGACTATTTTGATTCATTTCTAAGGACTTAAGGGACCAAAATGACCCTTTAATATAGTTGGGGATCATTTTGGTCCTTTTCTCATTAGTTAATAAAAGCGGCCAAGCAAGCTCAAAGATCTCAACCTCAAGAAAATAAGCACAAGTTTGCTTTGATATAATGAAGTTTGCTTATGTTGGAGGAACTAAATATTGATGGAAATGGAAAAAAAAAAAGCGGTTAGAAGTGCAGTGATGATATGCTCCATCCAAAACTTTTGCTAAAGGAAAAAAGTTGTGAGAAATAAAAATCACAAAGTTAATAAACTATGAGCAACCGCGGGGACCTCCAAGATAGTTGGCACAAGAGACGAAGAAGGTCAATAAATTGAAGAAGCCATTAAAACCCTAAGAGCATCCAAGAAGGGGTAGATTGCGATGGAATATGGACCATGGAGATGGAAAGCTAGCAAATGCTACTTGAAGCAACAAAGAAAAGAGTGGCAAGGAACTCGAGAGGAGGGAGAAATGCACTCAAAAGGGCGAAAGATGTCAATGAGCCAGAAGGAATGCTTAGTCTCCACCTTAAGTGACAGATTAGGATCCATATCCACAACTTGCACAATCACATGCAAGCATGCAAAAGCATGTGAAGCAAGCAAACGTGCACAAGTTGACTGAACAGGGTAAAACTCATGAGCAGCTATGCACAAGTCAAGGATCAAAGGCAATTATGCATCGAGCATGCTCAAGTGCAGCGATGAACCAAGCAACAAGAGCTAGGGCATGACCCCAACATGGAGAGCACGATCATACAACACTTAAAAAAAGAAAAAGTCAAAACAAAAATTTTCTACCAATCCATTCATGGTTTAAGAAGATTACAATAAAATAATAATAATAAGTTGAATAATTCTAGTTACATGGTAGCATGACAAGCAACACATGAATAAGAAACTCACAAGAAGAATGCGGTGCTGGGAGTCATTTTTTTCAGTTTTCTTGGCATTGTTGTATGTGACTACTGGCATATCAACAGCATATCCCTTATTGGAGGCTCTAACAAACTCCATCTGCTCAAAATCTACCTTTTCAAATTCATAGCATATCTTCAAATAATGTAACTCTTAATTTAAAAATATATATAAGAAAACTCACAGTTAACTTATCCGAATGACGATCCACCAATGCATTAATTTCCTTCAACAATGAACCCCTGCAATGTGTAATAGATATGAGGCTCAGAAACTTCATAGATTTTTATTTTCCAACTTTCCCAGCATAGATTTATTTAAATTCTAAATATTACATTCTATCTATATTCTATTAAAAGCTACTTAACATTCATTGATGCATATCTTGACCATCAACTTTGAAACGTTAATCTAAATTATAAATTAAAAACTTAATTTAAATTTTATTACTAGTGCAACTTAACTTTGAGGCATTTTAGTTGCATAAAACTAAATATATATATATATAGATACAACACTTTTGATGTTTTTCTCTTCTTCACTAGCAATTCATCCCAATAAACTTTCACTTGAAAGTCGACTTACAGATAGAATTTCTTTTTATTTTTTGCTTGGCCCTCACATCCTTGTAGAGTACAAGAAGAGAGGAAGAGGGAGAATTGCATTAGAAAAATCAGAAGCATAAAAAAGTGAGAGGTTGTAAAAACCCGTCGCAATTCAAGGATCCACGGTGGCAATCCAATGCAGCAATTCAAGGGATCTATGGTGGTAATCCAAGGGGCTTAGGTTTTCATATGTGAAATTTGAATATGGTGTATAAATATTTTTTTTTGTTAGCTCAAGGAGTGTATATTAGTGCATAATTGTTTCGTTTTTTTTTACTTTGTATTTGATTAAGAGTAATGTCTCACATTTATGATGATTTCTTCCTTGTATGAATAATGGTAGAAGGGTGGCTAGACATATAAGAAAAAATAAAGGGAATTGATTTCTCCATTCTCCTATGCTCCTATTGTTGTTCATTGGATATGCGCAATTCCTTGGTTGCTTCATTGTAGTTATTTACTTTATTTATTGGAATTTTGTCGCTCATTGACCTACTAATAAATCAGCATAACTTTTTCTAGCACATATTAATATAATCAACCTTCATTGTTGATTTATTTCTCATCATTCATTGTTGATCAAGATCCATCATCTAAGGGTCTTCCTAAGGCTCTTTTATCAAACTTAATTGAAATTCAACTTCTTGTCTTTGTTCTCTTCCTTTAAATATAAAAAACTTCTAAAAAAATCAGGTGAGCAATTTAAAAACATCACTAAATATGGCCAACATTCAAAAATGGGACGCATAAAAATATTAACATGATATATTGATTGAATGAAAGAAACTTTCTCAAATGATTACTATTATGAAAGCAATTATTAAAGGGAAGATGGAAACTAAGTCACTAACTAAAGCATGGCAAGAACCAAAAGATTAAACGTTCAACGCTTGGGATAAGGAAAACTATATGATCATTGTTGACCCCTATATCTCAAACCACAAGAGGAAGGACCCAAACTGATGAATAAAGCGATATGAGCCTTGGCGCCATGCGTCACTTGAAGGGTCAAACGATCTCTAAGTGTCAAACGAACGGCATCGTTGCGATCAGGACATCGAATTAGAGCAATTTGCTTTCCCCCGCCCGGGTACTTATTAAAACATCCCGGTCTCGTCGTAGGTGTCGCACCGGGTTCCCATCCTACCACGCTAGAGAAAAGCGTGTATAGGCGGTTTTCCGGTTGCCACGGAACAAAACCGATAATAGGATATGGAACCGAGGGCCACTCGCCTACCTTGCGTGTCCGGGTGTCGCGCCGGTTGCCCCTCGCACCACGCTAGAGAAAAAGTTGTTATAGCAGGACCACCGACTCGACACCCATGCCGAGGTAAGAGAGAGAGCCTAGGTTCCAGGAAATTATACCTTTGATGACGGCGGATCGGCGGTAGAAGCTCGTGGACCGAGGCGGGAGGGCGAGCACAGTTTTCTTTTATTAATTATAATTAATATTAATTAAAGAAAATTAATTAAATAATAATCTTTAATTAATCATCATTTTTTATAAATTATAATTAATTAAAGTAATTAATTAAGATTATTAAAATTAATTAAGAAAATAAGTTATAATTAATTCAGAATTAATTATAACTTAATTAAACATTATTAATTCTAATAAAGTATAATTAATTAACATTAATTAATAATAATTAATTTTAAATTTGATTAATTAAAAATAATCATTGTAATTAATTATACTTAATTAATATAATATATATATATATATATATATATATATATATATATATATATATATTAAATATTTAAATATTAATAATTAAAATAAAATAAAACAAAAAAAAAAAAATCCTCTCCCTCTCCACTCTCTCGGTTCGGCGGATTAGGGATTTTGGCTGGAGAAGCGCGTGAGCAGGGAGAAAGTACCTTCACTTCCAGCGAGCTCCTGTGCTTGCCTCGCATCAAATTCGTAACTTCCTGTTCAACAGGAAGGGACAGTCGGCTAGGAGCGGAGTCGACCCCGGTCACGACAGAGGTCGGAGGGATCGCCGGAGGAGGAGGTTGGACGGCCGCAAAGGTAGAAGTTATCTTTCACAACTGCTAGCTCCCGTCGTTGCTTCCGATTCTTAATGTCGATCTTCCGATCCGTCCAAGAGAGAGCAGAGCGAGCGGAGAGAGCGAGTGTTGGAGGGAGAGTGGAGAGCTCGGAAGTTGTCGAACCGAAGGAGCAGGGGCTCTCGCCTCTTTTTAACGTCGGGGAGATCGATTGGCGAAGAAGCGACGTCGACGTGCGAGCGACGTGCGGGATACGACGATGCTTCGGTGAGGCGACGGTGCGTCGTGGCCTTGGCCGTGGGTAGGTAAGGATTTGATTTTTTTTTTTTTTTTTTTTTTATCGTCAGCAGGTCAAACAGTAATACATGATCCAAGGAGAGATCCCCATTAATGAGATGAACAAACTCCTGGTATACCTTGTCAAAGAGAGATCCACAATAACATAGATAATAAGACGCTGGTCTAATTAGCTAATTATTTCAGATGGCCCCCTAAAAAAAGTTTTTCATGGGAGGCTATTTGTTTGTTGGACAAACTCGTAATCATAGAGGAGAATTGCAAACTAAATTTTCATTTAATAATGTAATGCAATACATATTTGATAGAATGGCTATTTTTTGTTTAATGGACATTAACTACATGTTTATATTTATATAATTGCCCCTTTTTTTATCTAAGTTCATTGTTAGTGATTAGTTTGACATCTTCATTTAGAGTCACTTTGGTACTTACAATTTTGTCATTGGATAAGTTGATTGTTTTTATAGTTTTAGTTTCATGTAATTCATATTTAATTAATGAATTAAATATCTGAGTACTGTTCTATGATATTTTATTCTCTTATGGATGGATGAGAATAGAAAACTTCTTTGTGTTTTGAGGATTTAACACCATGCCTCAAGGATTTGACAATATCACGGTTTTGAGAGAATACATCAATAATTTGAGGATTCATACTCTTTCTTTTTCTTTATCTTTCTCCACTTCTCTTATTTTAAATCTGTTTCCACATTGTTATGCCTACCCTGCACCGGAGCAATTCTATGCTTCCTATACTGTTTGTTTTTTGTTTCATTGTTTCCTAATTTTCACTTGGTTGAACTTACTAGTTACGATTATAGTTTCAATTCCTTGATATTTTCCACAACAAACTATAAAACAGATGCTCAAAATTCAAACTCAATCTAAATCTTGTAGCCCAATCTTATAACTTTCAAGAAAATTTTCCAATCTCAAACTAACCTTTACAAATCAATTCTTGATTTGACATCACCAGTGCCCAATACATTGCACATTACCTATTCGCAACATCGTTACTAAACGGTTTCTAACATGTCACATGTTATTATACTTAATTTTGATAGAAATGAAGTCATATATACTGTTAGATGTGCCAATCTAATATGATCCTATGTCAGATGTTATTATGCTCAATATTGGAAAAATGCAACATTTTCAATCTAGTAATCATTCCGATGTCAGATGTTATTATGCTCAATAAGTTATATAAAATGCAGCGTGTGTCAATCTAGTTTTCATTCCTATTGTCAGTATGTTATTTCATCTAGTCTCATAGAAATGCAAGTCTCTCTCTCTCTTTTCTCGCTCCTCTCCTCCCTTGTTGTGCAACTTGTAGTTGTTTTCATCTTAGCCTTCTCCCTATTGTCATTCCTTGGAGCAGTTAATTTTATACTCTATGCCTATCTTATCAAGATAATGCAACATCTCTCTTTATCTCTCTTCTGCTATTCATGTTAATAATGCTCAATTATTGATAAAAATGCTGCCATTCATACTGAGTTTTCTTTTACTGCTATTGTCCTTCCCAGCCTTCATACAAACACACATTCTGTCAGTTACCCAGTTGCGAAGAAGAGCCTCACAAAGAACCTAAGATTATGCCATCACCAATGATTGACGTGATATAAAACGGCTAAATAGCCAATAGCCAAGCTTGAAATTTCTGTGTCTCCTTCCCATTTCAGTGAGTAGCCGTTACTCTGACTATCTGTATACTTCAGAATTGGGCTTTTTCACAATTGGCATTACTCGTTCAACCAGAATAATACCATAGCTGTAGAATGTACTATAATAATCTTAGGCATTTTTAATACTAGTTAAAAAATCTTTAAAGCTGCTTTATTTTCTTCACTACATGTAACCACAATAACGAGTAAAGTTCTTTCTCGAATGCAAATAGTCATACTTCAGTGACATGAATATAAATTACATCTAATTATAAGGCGATTTTTCCCTCAAAATGTTCATATTTAGGGTTGAATTTTTAGGTGGAGAAAACTTGAATCAATTTCGATAAAGATGAGCTTAAATATACAAATTTGTTTTGAGATAAATATAATATTTGACTTATTTTAAAGTAATTTTAGTCTATAAAGGTTCAGTCCACTTTCTAACCCAATTCTCATCTTTTTTAGATTCTTCAAAA